TTTGATGAACTTTACCACATGAATTTCGCTTACTTTATTAATCAAATTTACGCTCGCAAAAAAGTACACTTTGTTTATAAACATAGGTAAATATTTCAAATGTTCTTTGTAGATCTTAAAATGTTTATTTAGATTTCATTCAAAATAGTTCAATGTTGAATCGGTAATGGCCGCCTGGAGGCACAAACGGAGAACAGTTCTTCAAAACACGCCAAACCTTCGACATTTCACTCTCCTTTCAGACACATATGCGGGTAATGTTTCAACATCCTCTCATAAAATGGACGGTAAAGCTATTATCGAGAAAAAAATGCCGCACTCAGATTGATCTTACGACCTTTGGAACTACTCGAATTCACAGTGTATGAACCCTTTTCAATAAAGAGGCTAATTCAGCAGCGAGAAAAGGAAAAAGACGATGTAATAATGCTAAAAAATATAAAAACAAAAACAAGGAGAAAAAAATTATCATGTAGTGTTTGCGGTTTGCCATTTGCAGGTGGCGCAATTGTTTGGTCTTTTAATTTTCTTAGTGTGCTCTTCATTGGCGCCATTTTGTAAAGTAGAAAGCGCGCGAATTCAGTTTTGTTTTAATTGTACGTCGAAGAAGCGGTATTATAACATTACAGCCTCAATTTTCAACGAAATCTGCTGTCGGATATATCAGTTGAACTATTTATACTTGAGTTCAAAGCATTAGCCTTTCTGAGTGTAATATCAGACTTGGACCGAGACACTTTGACGAAAGACTCATAGGGAGCAGCCAGAGCAGGATGCCGCCGAAACACTTCGGTCAACCAGAGTGCGTGACCTTGAAAATTCTCCACAAGGAACAATTGTTGACTTATTGTGATATGGAGTAAGAGGGAAAAAAAAACGAGAATCCACGCAGGGTATAGTGTGGAAAATTACTGTAAACTTCACGCAATGAATGAAAATAATTTTATTCATGAGAAAGTCATTATTCATTTCTGTTTAACAGTTGAAAGCGAATGAGTACTCACATGAAATATTGATAAAAGATTATCTTAGAACTTTTTAACTTACTTGGGTTTGTTTTAGGTGTGTACACTCCACTGAATATTTAAAAGTTTTTTTATTTTGGAATTGTAAAAGTACTTCGAGATTTTGGAAGGAAAAAAGAGCAAAAACAATTTGCTCATCAAATTTTAAAACAAATTTGTACTACACAAACAGTTCCTGTTGACAAATTTGTGTAAATATATAAAGCCTTCGAAGAGGTTGAAGTTTTTCAAAAACTAGCATTTTGTGGATATTATTAAGTAGCATTAAAATTAGTTTCCGAAATAAAACTTGAAATTTGGCCTGGAAGTAAAATGCACTCGAGATTTTCAGTCAATTACAGGGTAAAACACAACACCATTCTTCATTGCAAAACAACTACTTCGTTAGAAAAAGCAAATAATGTCTTGTAAAGCGAGAACCTTTATCGTTTAAGAAAAGGAAATACGGCTTTGTTAAGTAAATTGAGACATATTAACAGAAAGAAATGATATAAGAGTGCGAAAGGTAATGACTTCTGGCGGGTATTTTATTTTTCGTGAGAAAAATTTCTTTGATATAAATGCTTATGTAAAAGGTACATCAGGTCGTCCAAATGCATAATAAGAAATTAGAAAAACTACAAGCAATTATACGCAAAGTTGACCATCTCTTTAACAGTTGAAAGAAGAGAGAGATTATATCAAGATATATAAACAACAATATTCCGTTGTAGTTATCAAGACGACTTCCATTCGATAGGCCCTGATGAAATTTGATTGATTGGAAATACATACCGCGTTCACTGATGGATTTACGGTCAAATAAAAGAACCCTAAATTATGCAAAAACTCTAGTTTAAACATAAAAATTAAGTCTCGAATAAAAAGAAAGTTTACTGTGACAAATATAAAAAATTTGGGTGTTTTAACTAGACACAGAATTTTGAAAACATATRTATAAATATTCGGTAACAACAAAGTATGCGCAAAATCCAACTAGCCTTCCTCAAATGTGCTGAATTCATCATAGAGCCAATTAAAATAACCACAAATTTCCTTAAAAAATTAAGAATGAACACTTTTGGTACAAAAAAAAATACAAGAACAATTCCTCTGGAGTGAAAGTTCATATAATTCCAAAGAAGTTTAGAATAACTTCATTGAGTATATATCAAAAGTAAAACTTTTCTTGGCAGTGCCAGGAATATTTTGGCGCGCGCTATAATTGTTTCAATAATTAGCATGCTACACAAGAAATAATCCAATTTAGAGGCAAAAAATTAATGATTTGGTATAAAAATATGCCAAAAGTGAAGAGCCGAAGAGACATTCCGATAACCTCGGGTTCAAAATTGACTTTGAAATCTTTGAATGATCTTGAGCACCGTGGATGAGTGCGATAAGACGTAACAAAAAGTCGGAATCTGTAAGAATTAAGTTTTCCTGTACATCCACAAGTATTATAACTGGTTCAATGATTGTATTGTCGAAACAAAACACCCAAAGGTTTAAATATAATTGCTTAACACCGTCTTTGAATCGCCACATAACAAAAGAATTGTCTTTGAGATTCTCGGTGCATCGAGACAACAATTATTGTTCCGTAACGTTGACAATTGTGCTCGAGACTGAAATCACTGAGCTAATAGTCGCTATACTCGTATTCAATGCGTTGAATAGCGGAATGTTTTAGCTCTAAATACCCTAAAATAAGACCAATAACCTAGCGAATAAATGTCACTATTAAACGAGAGAATTATTATGGCCAAACACAAGGCTGTATAATCATACGTAAAATAAGAGCATTATACTACTAAATGCCTACGGAGATGTAAGAATAACATTTAACTATATCATCTTAAATGAAATCCATCCCACTACGAACTCTGAAATCCTGTAATCCGAAGAAACTGATACTTCCAAATCGATTGTGCACTTCTGTAATAGCAAGGCTTTGAATTCTTTTTCCTCCGCAAACAATTCACAATTGGAACAGATACAAAACATAGGACTTATAGCCATTTAGCATTCAACTTCTCACACTTATGAACTGTAAATTGTACTGAGACGAAAGGTTGGGAGAACTTATACTAATATTATGGAATTCGGGTAGTCTGCATTTATTATGGACTGAAGTAAGTTTCACCTAGAAACCAAGCGCTGAGCCGCCGACCGCATTGTTGCGTCCGTTGACTCAGAGTGGCACGGCTCGGATTCAATTCAACTTCAAATATACGACCTACCTTCTCGCTCTTTGGGTCTTTTTCTTTGCTTTTTTCGTCCTTTTCTTTCTCGACATCTTTTGTATTTTCTTTGGAGGATTTTTCTGTGTTCTCAACCTGTTCGCTCATCGGGTGATTTTTTAAACGAGGCAGAAACTGTTAATCTGACGGATTCATCTGATCTTACGCGCTGTCAACGAGAAAGCGTGACTTCGAAATCTATCTTGGTGATTATAAATATACCATGGTTGAACAACCAATCAAAAGCCACGAACCGCTGTGTCTTATAATCCTTCTTTGTAAGTACCCGGATGAATAGGCCCGGTGTTCTGCATCACGCGCGTTTCTCGAATTATCTGAGTATAAAAAATCGGATAAAAAATGTGAGAAGTCTACTTAAAAGTCACTCATACCCATGCAAAAGCCGATGAAAAGATTGCTAAAGATCGGCGCGATAACACATTTATAAAATATTAAAATTGAATATTAGTTTTTTCGTTTGATGTTTTGTAACCGAGAAAAAAGGCTTTTTGTTTGGCACAAAAGAAAAGATAAATATTTTTTTTTTGTAATGAACTCAGTACTGGTTAAATATGGACCATTTCGCCCTGAGAGGATTGGGATTTCTAGCTTGTCAAGAAACGTTCTTCGAAACGGTGAATCAAAAAGAAAATTATCTCTCGAGAATTTTGTAGAATTCAGAAGTCTGCACCTGCACATTTTACCTAAACCCTTCAAAATAAATACACAACAAATTGCTCTTGGCAAGAGCGGAAGAGCGTTTCAAATCCAGAGTATCATTTGTACGTTTTGTAACGTTATCTCAGTTTCCTCAGTTGGTATTTTCTAAATCGACTTTTCACGTCTCTCGAAATGTCAGACGTACAGTAACCAGCGGCGAATCCACAAAGTTACAAAGGGCAACTGGTTGATTTAGACTTTAGGGCTGCAAAAAATGAAATTTCTTTCAACAGACCACTGCTTTGGTGATTTTTCAAGACGATTCCCATTAAGTTTTATTTCTTCTTGTGTTTATTTTTATTTTTTTAAATCTCTATATTCTTGTACCGTCAAAAGGGGGTAGACTATCACCCTAATCCCCTCCCCCCCTAGATGCAAGCTTGAGTAGCGGAGCTTGAGCGCGCCAGTGAAATTACAATCAGCAAATAACCATCAAGGAATAAAAACCGCTACTTGTTTTTGTCTTTACTTGGGCGGCGATGTTTCATAGTCTTTTTGTCTGAACAGTTTTCAAKTCCTTGAGATTCGGTTGATTGACAATCACTGGTATAACCAGGTATGAATAGGGGTTATCGTTTGGACTTAACTTTGGCGCGAAGACGGCATCARCAGGGGAAAATTATTGGTCGAGCTTGTAAAAAAGTGTTGGCAGGTGTGCCAATGTGACTCACCGGGGAGGGGTTACGCGAGAATGCTCCCATGGGAGGGGTCGGTGTGKACTTGACTTAATTTATTTACCCAATTGATTTTTACTTTTACCTTTCCCATTTTAGTATCCTTTCTTTTGACTTTCGTGATATTTTGACATTTCTTTAGCTCAGTAAGATTMTGTAACTTRAGAYAATTTWATTATAATGTTATTGAGCGATTTATTGATTTTTGCTCAAATTCATGTCATAAATGTTCGAAAATCTCCACAGAAATTCAAAGTGTCAAAAAGATATATTCCTGATAACCTTACTATATGTATTAAACTTGGGCTGCCTGTGGTCTTGACATCATCACACGTGACATCTCGGGATCCCTGTGTTTTGTTTTGAGAACAAAATGGCGTCAAGTGGAATAAGTGTAATTCGTTCTTTCATCAAAATCTTCAAGGCAGCCTACCTATGGATTGGTATACTGTACATATATATAACAACATTTGGTCTAATATTGCCCTGGTTGTGTCAAGATCTTGGCTATTCATCGTATTATAACCCATCTCTTCAAAGTAAAGAAAAAATAGATTTGGCAAATGACATGAGGACTTCCATAGCGTACAAGACGTTGAGAAAAATGCCTAAAAAATTCAAATCWATACAAGATATTTCAAGTTATTACARTCCGAAGTAYAAAGAAAGCAGCATAAAGGTCACTTTTGTAGTTGTAAGCGTAAGTAGGCCTGCAAATCCTCATTAYTTAGTCCAAGTTGTTTCTCGTCTTCTTGACCAGACACTGAAAAATAACSTGGAAATAAGCTCAAAAATCATTGTYTTTRATGCTGATGAGAAGCCTTCCCAAAACAAAGATATAGAATTCGTTTCAAAKTATGTGACTGTTGTCAGCAAAGAGGATCTAAATTTCCGAAATGATACCTCTGACTTGCATGTTTATGAGAAAGAGAAGCTTGACTACTTGTTGGCTTTGCAGCTAGGAATTCAAGAAAATGCAGAATACACCGTTGTGATAGAAGACGATGCCTTACCAGATATCAACTTCATACGAAACTTGAGCTTTCTKATTAAATGGAAAATYCCWTGGCTTCRTTCTTTTCCAAAATGGGCTTTCATAAAGCTTTACTATCCAGAAAAATGGCAAGGYTTTGGAAACACAGAAATACCCGAATTGGTTGTTATTTTCTTGATCAGTGGTGCACTATCTACAATTTTGTGTTTAAGACTTGGAAATAATCAAGGYTTAGKRACAKYGCTTTTTATATTCATCACYAGTGGRGSGTATTTCACMTGTGTGGCTTATACTATAGGCAGAGCGCATTTAATTGAACTTGGAAAAACCTCAGMAATATTTTACAGAATCACCAAGGCACAGGGTTGCTGCACGCCTGCTGTTTTATATCCCAAAGAACACATAAGTGACCTTGTTCAGTTTCTCAGGAAGAAAACATGTTCTGTAGATTATCCATTTGATTTTGCTCTGGATGATTTTGTCACAAGTAAAAAGCTAGTGAAATATTTAGCAAGCCCTAACATGTTCTCACACATTGGATTCCATTCTAGTTTGAATAAGGCTGATAAGGATATAAGAGAATTTTCACTATTATTTAATCCATGATTTTTTTCAAGAGGATATAAACTTGGATATATACGCAGAGGTACATATGTTTTCCTCGAGTGTTAAAAACATCTCACACGAGTGATCGAGAGGAGCAGACACTGAGTTAGCTCATATCAGAATATATTTTCTAGAATCAAAATGACCACAAAAATTGTCACAGGAATCGCCAGTGTAAACAGGCCTTAAGCCTTAAACAAATTAAGCTGTTGCCACCATGTTGGGTGATCAAACAACAGAATAAGAGAGTTTAATGAGGTATGCATTGTTATCTTTGTTGAACATTGTGGCTGACAAAGAATAGCAAAAAATACACCTGGTTTTCCCTGTGGCCTTTCATTGTTTCATTAGTGCAATATTGTATGTTTTTAGCTTGCAGTTATTCTTTTTCAATGTTTTGTTTTGTTTTGTTTTGTTTTGTTTTTTTTTTTTTGTTGCAAAAAGGGTTATTCAGAGGCATTTTTGTATAAGTGAGAAACGTACTGTGCCATATTGTAACCGTATCAGTACTGTGCCATATTGTAACCGTATCAGTACTATAATCCCAATCAAAACATTCAAACCTGTAGTAACCATACATATTGTAACAGTTAACGTTTCTCACTTATAAGAAAATGACTCTAGTGTATGTGAATGAACTACAGAACAGTGTCATTACCTTTTGCTTCATACATCGTTCTTGTTCAGTGCCATAGTCTATTAATCAGTAAATACAGAAAAATATTTTGAWTTTTTTCATGGTACAACAGCATTTACTCTAGACAGAGATATTTACAAAGTATATAAATTTATATTGATTAAAATTTAACTAAAAGTGGTCTAAAAACTCCAAGATTGTATAGYCACAAGGAGAGAATTGGCATGCAACAAGATTTGCTAGGGTTGTACTCCATTATAAGGCCTTATCAGCTATATATAGACCTACAGCATGTAGGTGACATAGAATATTTTATTACAGTATGTTTTGAAGAACATATGATTAATTGAATGATGCATTGAATAGAAAAAATATCTGAAAATATTATCAAATGATTTATTAAGATATAAAGCAATACTTTGTTCTTTATTTATGTCCAATAAATATCAGTAAAAATATAATTATATTATTAAGTAATAATAAATGGTGATTTATCAAATGATGTGCTACCTGTAGCAATATTTGAAGAAATCAAGAAAGTCCCAAAGAAATTAGGAAGTCCCAAAAAAGGAATGTCTTTGAATGGGCTCATGAAAAGAAAGAAATATTTAATCTGGGGAGGAATTTTTTTTTAAAAATCTGGGCTCCAATGTGAATTGAACCCATGAACCTAAAGAAGCCTGAAGAAACATTTTCTTGAAGATTTTCATTTTTTTTTCCACTGGAAGTATGCTTACCTAACTTATTTCATCATATTTTTTCTCTAGTTGTTTTATTTTATTTTTTATTTTTACAGGGATACTATGTAAATGAATAATATTATTTGACATCAAAATTGATATACATTTTGAATTAAATCAATGAGTAATATAAATCTATGATAATATATTAAAATTAATTTTAGTTTAAGAATAACTGCAATATTCTTCACTTCTATTTCATTTTCTTATAACTAGCTATTTAATTTTTATAACCATGATATTTGCATTGTTAGTTTTTTGTAGTAAAAATGTCGTCCAGACATTTTATGTCTACATAAGAATACCGTGTCCTTTAACTGGTGCGATTCATTAAAATTAATGYCTTTCATTGATCAAGTGTTCCATCGATCTATTRTTCTATTGATCAAGAAYCCTGCTAATGAGATGATCCACTTAAAGACGTGTTTTGGCCATGCGTCCTTTCAATTAACGCACCAAGTTACGCGTTCCATGCATTGATTTAGTGAAGTGTTCCGTATTTTCTGAAATGTTTATCGAYCAAGTGTTTCATTGATCAATTGTTCTATATYAAGTGTTTCATCATTTACCACTGACGAGTTAGTGAGTTCCATTGATCAAGTGTTCCATTGATCAAGTATTCTTTTGTTCAAACTTTCCGTTGACCAAAGCGTTTTGTTTATACTATACTGACGTCAAATTCAATTCATTTTCAAATTGGCAGTACAGTTTGTTTTTACGATTTTTCCAGCTCTAATTGCAAAAATAATGTTCCATCAACTAAATAATTTTCAGTCGACAGTGTCTCATGCGAGACAAAAGTGGCCAGACCTCTCCCCGTGTTCTGATTTGTTGTTGGGCGCTTGAAGTTATTATAATCTGCGCTTTTACGAGGGAAGCTCATTTTTATATTTTTCCTCTGGTTAGACTTCTGATCCAACAAGATGARCCTTATCTTCCAATCCAAAGGCCAGATCAATATCGCATCGTATTCACCTCGCAAAACATGGAGAAACACGGATAGGTGCGTTCCCTTGCCAGCTTTGCAGCCATTGGGGTTAACCTCGAGCTTCAATTTATACCCATATCTGTKTGTATAAAATGGCTCGCTGTACAAYCTAACAAAACGATCGTGTTGCTTTGCAATCTGCAGCTGTTTACTGAAATCCTCTACTTTGAAGATGTAACTTAGATGATTTTGGTCTTCTTTGGCCATATATGGCGTGGTTACAAGTGAGACTTGTTTCTTCAGGGTGTTGTTCTCATCCGTCAGTGATGAAATATGTTTGTTCAAGGTAGTTTGCTGTTGTTTCAAGTCTTCTACTTGTTTTTTGAGATTCGCATTTTCATCTTGAAGGGTCAGGAGGATTTCTGTCGTGAAAGCCAAGTGCTTAGCAACTATATGCTCACTAAGGTAGATTCTTTGTCCCTAAAAACAAATGACAAAAACAGGGTTAAAACGATGACTGCTCAACTACTTGGTGTGTCTTACATTGACATTCACTGGAAAAAATCGCGCGCTTTAAATGTTGTAAATTTGATGTAAATATGATGTAAGTGTCCAAAATTCTGTAAATTTGTTGTAAATGATTACCATTAAATTTACAGAATTTTGGACACTTACATCATATTTACATCAAATACAACCTTTAAAGCGCGCGATTTTTTCCAGTGATTCGTTGGAAATCAAAAACTACTATATATTTCTTACAAAATGACATTTCACTCCAATCATGTCACAGGAGCGAAGCACAAATTCAAATTGTACATAATTGTACATAAAAAAGGGGGTCAGCTCCCAGTAAAGTTGGCATAAATTATCATTTATGGATCCCAATAAACAGACCAAGCCTCCCGCTTCCAGAAAATGATACGCCATTTTAATGAACCTGAAGGTTTTCGAGTCGTATGTTGATGGTTGAATTATGAAAACGCCATGCCCTACTCGCAGTCCAGTTAAGATTGCTCTTTTTAGGCTCTCCAGCAGTATCAATTTTAGAATTCAGTAACAAGTCGTTGATAAAAGACGTGACATTCTTGATGTGCCCTGTCCATGACTGCGCATGGKCAGATGAATATATTAAGTACCTTAAAATCACATCCAAAGGGTTTGTAACTGCACGGTACGATGGTCAGCAGGCATTGGTCACTGTGGACCTTGATAAAAAATAATGCAAACATCGATCAGTTACACCAAAAAAAGAATAGTGAAAATGTGAAAAACATGCTAAACTTAATGATAGTTTGGATCTTGGTTCTTCGCCGGTGAACATAAAATAAATCAGGGTCGAACGAAAAACTCCTARTACATCAGTMCCCGATCTCAACCTAATTTATCAATCGCAAGTATTTTCTAGAATATGTGTTGTTACCTGGATATACTTCAACTGTCCTTGCCAATCACAGCCCTGGTTTGCGCACCTTACTTGRAATGACATCATCTTCCTTTCCGTGGCTTTATCATCAAATATCTACGAAACAAAACAAAAAAACACTACAACAAAGCCGCTTTAGGCATTGGAAAAAAAAACAATTGTCAGGTTCAAAAAGGAGAAGTCATCGAATCTAAGGACGAAGGGAATTTTGGTTACTCAGGAAACACTGTTAATATTTCTCAAAGAAAAGACTAGCCCCCCAAGGTAACTCTTTTTTCCTCCTTTCGGCTTYCTTTGTAACCCTCTCTCGCCCCCATTCTCCCTCCTTTTACTCCCAATAGAAGACAGGAAGCCCTTGATTCTTACTGATGCCTGCGGAGTAGGCTAAGAAAAGAACATGGTCAATGAATACAAACACCGCCCTCCCCTTGGGTTTGGCTGCAAACATCTAGTCTTGCTATCCAACAACGTTTATACATACATACCTCTTGTTGGTCAATGTCGTCTCCATCGACTGGACACTGCTGGAAACTATTGTAAAACAAATCGATGCATAAATCATTCTGCTTTCTTATTAATAAATGACTTCATTCAATTTAGAACTGAATCAATTAACAAGCTATATCTATCAATTCACACAGATTTTTATTTCTCCGATAGAGTTCAAAAAGCTGACTAGGAAAGGAGAAGGAGAAGAAAGGAGAAGGAGAAGAAAGGAGAAGGAGAAGAAGAAGAAGAAGAAGAAGAAGAAGAACAACAACAACAACAACAACAACAACAACAACAACAACAGCAACAACAACAACAAGAAAAGAAGAAGAAGAAGAAGAAGAAGAAGACGAAGAAGAAATAAAAAAGGAAATCAATTAAAGGACAAAAACAACAACAGCGGCACGAAGATAAAAAAGAACATTTCACATCACTGATTTCTTTCTGTTATGCTAACAAAGCAAGGATCAGAGTCCATTGTTAAAAGTTGTCAAACGTCTATCGCCAAACCTGCACTATTCTTTTCCAAAACACTTTAAAAAATTTGTTAAAAAAGCATGGTTTACAAGTCAGTAAAAATTATTATAGTCTTTTACTCGATACAATACGACTACAAAAATATCAAACCGACAATTTGACCTCGTCACCCTTTACATTGTTTTACACGGCAAACGATTAGCTGGAGTTGCGTGACAGCCATAATTGGCGCGCCGAAGTTTGAAWTTTTTGCAACAACTTTGTAATTTGATAAACAGCTGTTTCTGTTTGCTAGTAAATGTCGAAGAATAACTGTAATAGTGTAGAATTTCGATTATACAGAACAACTGTAAAGCTTATATGTTCGCTTTCAGTATTAAAATCTACGTGGAACGTGTTCGAGTCGTACATGTAACATGTTTACATCATGTAACATCAGTGAACGTGAGGAGTTTGTTGAACATTATAATTAAAATATCCGTTCGTATTATTGTGCCTATAATCTTAATCTAGCTATATAACACCAGTTTTCGCCACTAAAATCTAATAATCTGAAAGTAAACCACATTCATGTACTTGTAAATAGTCTAGCTGACCTTTCGTGCAAGCAGTCTTTGCAGAAGCGATGTCCACACTTTGTTTGTACAGGTTTTCGCAACGGCAGTCCACAAATATTACAAAYATAATCGTCTGAAACCTGAGGAACGAAATGRCATTCGTATCCAGAGGGTCTTATTGAAAAAGAAGTCATTTTCGGAGAGAAATGTTGGAGTTTCTGCTTCACCGGTTCACGTACAGGTATTTGAGCGGTTGACTCTTTGGGAGACTAGGTCGAGTAATTTCCGTTATTTTCAAGCGGCAAGCAAAGCTCATTATCAGCCTGTAATCTTAATATGTCAGGTCATTAGCAAGGTTAATATAAAGATTAAAATATTTACGAGAATACGTGGTATATAAAAAGACGATTTTTGTCTTGCAAAGGTGTTATAATAAAGGCTTGTCTTGTCCTTTATCTTGGATTGCTATTACATTGTAATTTTTATACATTTTCCTATATATATAAAAAGTGGATTTCGTACTTTTTATTTTAAAAAACAGAGATTCAACGAAAGATCGTATTTTGAAAATAGGGGCTAGCTTGCACTGGCTATGAAGTATGTAAAAAATAGGTCTTAAATAATTCTAAAAATCCACGCACTTCGGGGACCTTCGGGTGATGAAAAGTCAACGCCAACGGCATGTATCGCGTGTTTTTTGACCATATATGTTCCTCGGATGTTCTTCCTTGCTTGCTCGTAGCTCCGAATACTTATASACCCCTTATACGTATCGCTAAATAAAGTTCATACAATTGATTCCTTCAGGGTCTGAATGGGGTTAACCGACTAGCGACAAATTGACAAAATAACGACTGACTAGCGACAAATATGAACAAAATTCACTGACTACCGACAAAAACATATTAACTGACTGACGACATTTTCCTTATTAAAACAAATCAGTCTTTGCGTAATATTCAAAGAAAATAGCTTCCTAAATACAAGTGTTTTTGTACTTTTCAGGCAACTAAGTTTTCAGCGGAAAAATAAATTTTGCTCAGGATTGGCTTCTTGAAGTTTTGAGTGGCATCCAATTGACCAATCAAAACTCAAGAATTCAACTGTTGGTATTTTAGAAAGCATTGTGCTGAAATAACGCATCGTTTTTTACTCGGGGTTCCTGTGGAACCGCGAGTTTAGGTTTCGGCGTTATTATTATTATTTTTTTTTTCGCATTCATCGCCAAATCGCGGCCAGACTAGCCAGGCGTTCCTAGCCCGTCTTGTCGCGTCTCACGTCATGGGAATCCTACGTGGCCATCTATCCGAAGCCATGAACTACCTTCTGTCTTAAAAGCTACTGATAGTTTTTATTATTCTTTGCAAGAGTTAAATAATTGTGGTAAATTTATCAAGTCAAAATTATATAATTATTATGCTATCAACTGGAATGAGAACTATTATTATATTTTTGGTCACGGCAAGAATAAATGAAACTACAGAAGGAGCCGACGGGGGTCTGTTTTTCTAAATTAACTGTTCTGATTTTTTTTCCTGGGAAAGAAATTTTTAGTTAAATTGTTGACAAACTCACATGTGGCGCCACCAAAAAATATAATTGTAGTGATAATTAAAATGAAAGACGTTGTCAAGAGACCACACTAAAAAGAACCCCGAGTGCACGCTGACAAGCGTCTTGTTTTGTTTTGTTTTGTTTTGTTTTTTTTAATGCTTTTAAACTTAATTTTTATCAACTTTTTTCAAAATAACCGACTACCGATAAATGCCTAGAATTTTAACTGACAACCGACATCGAGACCCCCGGCCCCCATTCAGACCTTGTTCCTTTAGGGTTTTTTTTTTTCGACTGAATTAAGCACTTTCTATGCTCTTTTGACGGCAAAGATTTTCATTCTTTTTTTTCTTCTTCTTTCGATTTTTTTTTTCTTATAGAAATTCGTTGAGAACTGACAAAAAGTGCGGGATTAAAAGTTCTTGATATTGTTTCAGAGAGACTAAATGAGAGCTGATCTGTACCTCCGACCTATTTACTCGGATTGTCACTTTTAAGCGGCATATATCAACGTAGAATCTGACATCATTTATAATACATCGGAATCACTATGTATAAACGTCACAATTATTGCTGGTCAACGGTTTTTTCGTGCTTTTGAAATAGCTGTGGAAGATGAATCATGCATAACGATTAATACTGGTTGAAATTTCTAGTGTCATGCATTGTAAGGCTTCATGATCAGCCTTTAAGGCTTAAAAGGGCGTTCAAACAATTTCAACAAAAATACTTTAAACTGKCTTCTAAATCTCTAAATTGTACATTTTATTCCACGTATATTTCCAAAAACAATGGGTTTATGATGCATTTTGGGTAGCCTGAGTTCCATCCGGCGTATATCCGTAAAAAAACGTTGGTTATTTCGAGAATATACAAGATGTACGYAGGCTAGTCTCCTCGCAGCCGTTCTTAGTGTCGGGCTCCCTGTCCCCCGCCCCACAGCTAGCATTTGGTTAGCCTCCCCGATATCGACGTTATCTGTCATTTGTGATGTAATTACGCAATCAATTGACGTTTTATTTGAGTTGGGACCTCTATGAAGTTTTGGTTTCCGTGTTTACAACACTCGGTCTCAAAACAATGCCCGCAAGATAAATACTTTTTAATTGCAAGTTATATTAATACTCCTGACCAACAAGGTAGAATTAAACGCCTATTAAAGGTTATTAGGTAGTCATGTGTTATATATATATATATATAGATGACACAATTGAAATCCTTTATGCCTTTGAACTGAGATGAAAACAGTTCAAGATCATTTTTTTAGTCATAAAAAGCCATTTATCTCTAAACTGCTAACTTTTATATTAGGTTCTTAGTCAGAAGTTTATTATTCCAGTTGCAATCCACATTTTCCGAGGCGACCCCCGCTTAGGTAAATAGAATACACTGGTACAACGACGACATTCTATAGTCTATTAGTCAACACTGAATGATTCTTGTTATTTGAAAAGAGTTGATATAACTCCGGAAGAAGAGTACTCAGGGTACCGGATAACACCTTAGTTTTAAWAGATCCAGGGTATAGATTTAACTCTACCAGTTTTAACTGCACAATGGAGGGGAGTAATTTTGACTCAGTCTTTTCTTACCCCCTCAGTGAAGTAATTTTGACAGTCCTAATTTTCCGTGTTGATTTAAACCTCCGGAGTAAAAACTACTCGAATTGTAGAGTCGATTTAACAATTTGGTAACTTTAACTCTATTGGTGAAGTTATTTCAACTCCTTGAAAAAGGATTCAAAAACTCATTAATTATTCATGAGGTATTCAGCCAATCCCTGATTGTAATTTGTACCACGTGAAGTARCTTGAAACCAGAGGAAGTACTCMTACCTKGTATTCTACCTTATTTYCAGTTACKTCTACCTTTTTCAAGTTACTTCTACATTATTTCCAGCTATTTCTACCTTATTTCCAGTTACTTCTACCATGTTTCCAACTACTACTAGCTAATGATAATCAAATTATTGGAAATAATCAGTTTAACCTTAATTTAGTGAAAAAAGGTCTTTGATACATGACTCCCTCACGACTCGATCCCCTRCCGTCTAGTCTATATGCGCCGTCTTATACCATTACACCACCGAGTTTCTGATGCGATTCCTCGGAAGATAACATACTTATAAATCTCTCCGACAAAACTAGCGCCAGAATTTCATCAGGAAAAAGACCATGAATATCTAGTTTTAAAAAAATGATTTCTGCCGGAAGAAGTACGCGGAATTTGAAACAAAATATTCCAAAGGTGGAAAAAACATGAAAGTATTTGAGATTTTATCATTTTTGGACAGATCTTTTCATGTCTCCAGCTGTGAATGTAGTAAAATTCTCTTTTAGTTGACTAACCTAAATTTTACTTGATTTTGAATCGCTATTGCTAGTGCAGTTCATTTGTAATAAKGATTAATTTTCCCACTGTTCGCGCGCTAATTTCTTATATATTTTGTATATTATTATAACTGAGAAAAATACCCGAATGTCACCTGGCATTCAGACTGACAGAGCCAGATTGTTTCACGACTTTCTTCTTAAACTATTCTTTAATACCAGCCAATTGCAGTACCTGCTAGCGACACACAGTTAAATTGACTGATGACTAAATGAGGCTTGATTAAATCTTGGAAAATTCCAGTTCGTTTATTCATTTGGAAATTCAGGGTCTACATGACATGTTCAGCCAATGAGAGAGCTGTTCGTCTATCGGTGTCAGTCAAGTCAGCTCTGAGTTGGAAAAAAAAAGGTTTGTGTCTTGTGCGTGGAMGCGATTCAATTTTGAGTGAGAATTCGCATGTCTTTTCTTAAGGTAAGATAAAATAATTTGTGTTTCAAAAGGAATTGAAGCTAATGAATTGACGTTACTATCTCCTAGACTGAGATTAGAAACAGACTACCTTCAATGCATAAAAAAATATTTAACTGTGTGCTGGAAACGATAAGTTACGCTCAGTYGTTTTTGAATTATGACAGTTGTACAATTTGTGCTTATGTTTATACAATTGTACAAGTTGATGTAATTTGTTCCGACGGAGAATTATCATTTATCGCCATGTAATTTTACAAGATCKTTCACGCTCAGCTTGAAGTAAAAAAAACCCGAAAACATACGTTTCCTTATTGTTCATAAAAAACTGGAAAAAAAGTATAACTAAAAAAAATCATTTTTTCCAGAGATATTGTTTGGGCAAGTCATTATAATTTCAAACTTTTTCCTCAGAGATACTTCCATGACTAAAAATTACGAACCAGCTTCCATTTTTATATACTTTATTATAATAATTTGAGACCAAAATTGACTGAAAAGTCATATTGTGTATAAAAACCAACCACTGTGTTGAGTCTACCTGACGAGGACACCAGCAAGCCGTTCTCTCTTTTCCTCTTTTCCAAAACTTATTGCGTTTGATAAAAAAGCCATTAAAAAACACATTATATTTTAACTAACAGTATTTTGGGGATTGCTTATGTGTTGTTTTTATACAAAAGAAATGAAAATAATAGAAAAAGACAGCTGAAATATCTTTATTTCAAAATTCTTTCGAAGCAGTCGACATAATGTTTAATTTTACAATCTACACATATTGTTACAAATTGTACATATTTCAGAGCAAATCGTTAAAAGATACACGAGAAAAAAATTCTCTTTTTTGCATAATATTAACCACAAAGTAATTAACTTGAACCTGTGAATGAATTTGTTAGACGAAAATGCGGCTGAAAAAACAAGATTTGGGTTTTTGAACACAAAACAAATAATTACGTCTCGCGAGATTAAATTAATAGTATATAAAATAAATGAATATTTATGTCGCATTTTCAACCCACACAAGGCATTAGGGAAGTTAAAAGATTATTTGACACGAAAAAAATACTTTGAGCACGTAAAAAAGCGTTTGTTATATTACAAGGTCATTTCTACCGTTAGAGAAGCTCCGTCAACCATGAATTTGTCAATTACTCGGTTGGGGACGACAACATTTCTGACTTTTGGCATTTTTAATCTGAAATTAGATAAAAAAAGTGAAAGAACAAATACTTAGCTCATTAGTTTATGGTTTGGCAGCAAAATTTTGTTTACAATTTCTCATTATAGCGTTTGAAAGTCAATAAAACTTTGAAATGAAAAGCAAGTGAGCAAATAGCGAAAATCATATCGAGCAACGATACAGCAACAACGTGTCAAATTAGGCCTTTCCATTTTACACTAATTTACTATCTGAACAATTGCCAAGATATTACTTATTTATAAACATTTGTAAGTAGGATATATATGTTGAATTGTAAATTTTGCCTGCGCTATTGGTGGAAAGTATGAATTCAACCGAAATTTGGTATAAAATAGTATTAAGTTCGACGCTTTACCTTTTCACTCAAGTCTGTCTGCATTAGGTTTTCTATAGCTTATTTCCCCTATCAAATAATATCTAATATCTATAAACTTTGCCTTATCAAATAATATCTAGTATCTATAAACTTACAAATTAGTCGAGCTAAAATGGTGATCACACCAGACTAAAGACAAAACTGACTGTAAGGTAAGAAGGTAGCCGTAAGACCGAGCCAACAATCTAACAGCTGTGCATTATTGTGTGAAACAATTTTTTATAGATTTTACATTTTCGAAATAATTAATTTATTGATAATTCTTTTCCTGAAAATCGTCAAAACCCAAACTCCAAGAATCCGACAGAACTTCCGATCAAAATCCGCCATCTTGAATTATAGGGAAATTATGGGATTCCCGAAGGATTGAAATGCATGTACTTTCTTATGTATGATATTTCCGCCAAAGCTAAGACCTCTTTTGTGATRTACTCTCAGTTATTTACACATTGATTCAGCTTGGGCTCCCTGTGGTTTTAGTCTAAGTGTTTTTGTATCAAGAGACTCGGTTTCTATCTGGCTACTTTTCATGTCTAGCTAGTGTACACGAGACTTTGAAACTTTGTGATTTTGCAGTGAAAATGTTTCAAGTTTCCATTTGAATCAGTACCACCTGACGCAAGTATTGTCTATTGTCTGCACTAAGAAAAGTTGCTATGAATAAATAAATTCTCACTAAATGCCCGCTGATTTAACATAATTTCTTACATAACATATTGTTAATTATCCAAAATGGCGATTAGTAAAGACACAGTCTTGCGAAACGTTAACAAAAACACAGGTAAAATGAATAAATCAATAAAGAAATAATAAAATGTAGCCTTCTTTTTTTCYTCTTTCGGGCTTCCTTTGTAACGATGATAGCTCCCATTCTCCCTCTTCTGAMTCGCAGTAAAAAGACAGGAAGCCCGTGACTCTTAGTGATGGCTGTAGAAGTCTATACGTCACGCAATAAATATAAATCTCTCTTTATCTTTTCTTCGTCAATATTTCCACATCACTCAAGAACTACAATTGAGTTGAAATGCCTGTCATATATCGCGTTGCTGAAAAAATCATCCTCGCTCTCTTTACATGGGACTTTGTAAACAACTGACAACAGCTTTAAACTGTCTTTATAACAGACCGGTTTTACCAGTTCGCTCTACATCTCCMCAGAAACGGACTTGCAAGCTCTTGAAAAAATCAATTTGGAAAAGWGTCAACAATTTGTGATGACTGCCTAAACAATTGTGGTCGAATCTGGGCAAATCTATTGTACAATTCACAGGTTATTTCAATGTCCTATATACCTATATCACGCTGAAATGTCATTTTGAAATGCTTAGATAACATGGAAACGAAATGGAGTATCGAATTGGTCACATCTATAGCGATAAAGATGCAAAGTTTCAAGAATAATGCTCTTAATTGACGAAGACTTGCTTCATATTTTTTTCACGGTTTATCATGGAAACGAGGCTCACCGGGCAATAAATTGCCGGCAGCAATTTCTTTGAAAAACACTTTTTTTTGAAAACTCATATCTTTGCGAATCTAAGTATGTCTGTCTTGAAACTTGGCATATTCATCATCTTTGATGTGACATGTCGCCGCTTGATTTCTTTTTCTTTATGAATCATTCAAGTTTCTAAATTTCATGCTAGCGTGATATTCGTTTATCGGTTTGTGATTTTGTATATATAGAGGATATTACATGGGCGTGCGGAGATACGGATTTTATCGCGAGTGTTGAAAAGATCTCTCACGAGTGAGCGTAGCGAGATTTTTAACACGAGAAGATAAAATTCGTATCTCCAAGCGACCATGTAATATTCTGTTTATCATATAATTACAAATGAAAGCAAATTATGTCGTAAAATACTTTTTTTCTTAAGTTACTTCCACTATATAGAGCCTCGAAAGTGTTATTTTCACTAGTGAAAATGTCAATTTTACGAAATGGAGAAATATAGATATTTCATAGATAATTATATTGTTTCAATTAATTGACTGCCCTTTTGTTATTTCCTGTTCCTTCTTTTATTTTTTTTATTTTTTTCTTCTCTTTCTTTTCTTTTCTTTTCTTTTCTTTTCTTTTCTTTTCTTTTCTTTTCTTTTCTTTTCTTTTCTTTTCTTCTTTTCTTTTCTCTTTTCTTTTCTTTTTGTGAGTTTTCTCAGAATACAGTTTAGTAAAAGCCATAAATCAAGAGCCTTTTCGGTCATACGCCGTTCTATCCGGCAACCTATATTCAAATGGTTCTAATATGCCTCCCCTAAATAGATCTATAGGGCATTCTCAAGAGGGTACTTGACGATTTACCTACTGTGGGATTCGAAACTAAGAGAAAGTATAGCTTGTTTTGACTCTGTACTTTAAATTACACTAACGTCCATTGTGGTTCTTAGGACTGAATATTAGATTAACTATCACAACAGACACATACAGCATATTGCAAAAATTATGAGAATTGTCTAAATATCTAAATATCATAATATCCATATCCATATATTGTCCGGAACACGCGGGTTTGCTAGAATAATTCATTGTTGACATCGAGAAAATGTTCAGAGCTACGGATACGTCTGTCGCCAAAAAAAAAACTAAACTACAAAGACAAGGGACTAAGAGCATCGTGCGGTATTACCCATCATTCACTCGATATTATGATATTTAGATATTTCGACAATTCTCATAATTTTTGCAAAAGGCTGTATTTAACAAATATATATATTCATCTAAAAGAGCATGTAGCCTYGCAAGGTGTCGATATATTTTTTAACCATTGCAGATAACGATCACTCTTTGCTTTAATCGACGCCGTAATCTCTTTCTAATTGTTAAGGTTTTCATCTTTCTCGGCGGGATTTTGCTGAGAGAAGACGACGACTTTCGTCTCGTCTTACAGGCTGTTATTCGCCTTATGGGTTTAATCTTCCATTAAAATTTTATAAATGTCTGAAAGAAAGCAAGTCAATCTCTATAGTATTTTATACGTAGTGTAAACAAGGGGTGACATCTGTATATGAAGTATTGATATTATAATTCGTTTTGTATTGAAAAGTCAGAAACGGTAGCGACACCTCTCTTGATATGTTATTGCAGATAAAAGGGTATAATAGCCTCAGGAGGCGCAGTCCCAAATTTATTAACTTGTAAATCATGCATTCACTATGCGTTCCTTAATAGTCTTTTAATATATTAAAGGGATTTGCTCATTTTTATAGATGACTTATCAATTATCAAATGGCTTCGAGTCGTATATCTRAGTGGAGCAATTCATTTTCTCTCAAGGGCTTTTTATGTATTTGCATTTAGGTGACAAAATACCAATGCTAATGAGCTGCGAGAGATCTACAACGAGAAGGCATGGCTTACGTTTTCAGCGTGTTGACTTGGTTTTYATTTCTCGTCCATTCACTTTCAAATCCTTTCATTTGGGCGTCGTCCCAAGGAAATTCGTCGTCCCAAGCAAACGTAACCAGCGTTCCAAAAGAGCTGAAAAAYATCTCTGCTAAGAACACAAGTCCAAAAGATGGACCCGTTATTGGAGTCATTGTCGAGGCTGAAAGAGAAAAGGACTTCCAGAAGGCTAAACAATTATGGGCAAAAAATTACAAGACAACTGTTTCAATTGAACACCGCGTGGTRAGGAACGACCCTTACGATGTATTAAGAATGGTCTGYAATAACCTCACAAGAGTGCAAGGACTTGTGTTTGTGTGTGGAGGGCCTTGTGTCAGTGTCACTGCGTTTGTAAGTTTGATTGGGATGTCTGGTACTTTGGTGCAGCAACGAAGCGAGGAAAACCCTCTTCTGTTCGTGGTAAGTAGTCGATTCCTTTTTAACTAGTAACATCCATTTTTAAAACAGATAGATGGTTGATAACGCCCTCTTTATGGATGTTTTTAAACAGGAAGTACASCAATTTTCAAAGAGTATTGAGAAATACGATTAAATTTTCGCATGGAGTTAATTTTAATCATGAAATTATTGACAGTTTAAGTCATATACGTACTCTGAACTACTGTTTTACGTAGGTTATTAATTAATTAATCATGAGACTACTGGCGTCAGAAAATGAGTAAGAGTCACATTGAAAAACAATTGTAGTGTATTTTTACTCTATGATTCATATGATAGATCATAACGCGAAAAGGCCAAAAMATGTTTTCTGGTACCGTCACAGGCAGCCCAATCATTTCTCGAAAAATCGGTGTATTCTTGGATTATTATTTTTTACGTTGATTGGCTTTCATTTAGTGGAAAAATGGAGAAGAA